AAATAAACCTATAACTCTGTAATCTGGGATAAGACCAATAGGTCTCTGTTTCTAGAATTATTTTATTTAAAGTTTATTTATCGATAAAGAGAGAGAGAGAGAGAGATTCTGTTATTCTCCCTCCAGCTTTCTAGTCAGTCAGTGAGCATGCCTGGTGTGTTCAGGTCCACTTGGGATCTGAACCTAAACCCTTCCTATATGGATCCAGTATCATATAGCAGTTTCCTACTGCCTGTGCAACTGTCACTGGCCCAGTCTATTTCAGTAACTATTAAAAGTCATTGAACTTGACTTTGTACCAGTCATTATTTTAACACTTTAGACATCCATTTAATCCTTGTAGTAAACCTATGGGACAGTTGTATTACATCCATTTTCTGATAGAATAGTTGGGATCAGGAATGTTTAGTATATTACTGGATTTTATGCCACTTCTAAGTGGTGAAGTTGAAACAACTTAGATTTGGCACTCTCCAAAGCTGGTGACCTTAATCGTTGTGGCTATCCTTCCTTGTCTAAAGCCTGTTCGATCAAGCCTTGTATAATTGTGTATTCAACAATTAGATACATGCTTCCAGGCAATGTTTTAATGTTTCTTAATGCATTATGCCTTCTTCAAAGAGATAAGATAACACAGCAGATAATTTCCTATTTCAGCCCATGGTTGTCATTATTCATGAGTTGGAAAACCTTTATTAAAAATCTCATAGAAAAGAGAGAGAAATAGATGGAGAACACAGGAATAGCTAAAACCAAGGGAGAAAAAGCAGTCTTGAAATAATTAAAATATGCTGATACTTTGATATTAGATATTTGTTTTAGTGTCATTATAGTAGAGTGGAGGTTCTTATTTTTATCTCATCGTCTGTACCTCTGTATAGCACCATCCTCCCGCGTCCTCTTTCCATAGTGAGGACGCTCTCTATTTAAAGATTTTTTTTAAAAAATTGATTTCTTTATTGAGAGAGAGAGACAGCCAACAAGGTCTTACCATGTTGCAATTTCTCCTCCCACCTCCAAACTTTCAACCAGCCAAGATCTCAGGCATGCCAGCAAGTACACATGTCTTGTCCCAGTCAACCCAGGTTCCAAACCCCAGGACTTCCCAGATGGCTCCAGTATCAGGCAGCGGAGCTTTACTGCCTAGGACATCACTTCTGGGGCAAGAATTTGTTCTTTTGTCTTAGTCTTCTTGGCCTTTTTCAAATTTAGAAACAAAGAATTCTGCCTTCATCAGATTAAATCCTGGTCTTTCTTACACCTACCAGGGTAATAGTAAGTGAAGAGCCAGGAAAAGCAAAAATCCAAATCAGAGAGGAAGGAAAATTAAAATGTAAATTAGGGCTAAGAAGGAGCAAGTGAGCCCTGTGGAGTACCAGGTGGGTGTGAAGGAGAGTGTTGAGTTTGGAGAGAGGGAGGAGGGAGTAAGAAGTGGGGATAGCAGCCATACATGTGGAGAAAAATAGAAGGGATGGAAGAGATACAGATGAATGGAAAGAAAGAAAATGAAGAGCAGAGGTGGGAAAGAGACCTCTAAGGAGTTTTTAGTGTCTTATGAATCTAAACTTTCTTCAGTATTTCCTCAATAGATGAAAATTAAAATTTAAGTTGATATTCAGCTATTTTGGGATGCCAGTTTGGGTTTGTTTTATTGAGACTTCCCAACTAGGCAAGAAGGGGCTATGAGTAAGCTCAACTTCCTAGGAGTTACACATCTTCTTGTAATCTATAAATTGTGGTGTACTTAGATGCCACCTGACTTCTTAGTCCATCTTCAGCCCTGCCACTAAAATGTGTGAGAAGTACCAGATATTTGTCTTCAGGCATGTATGAAATTGCTGATACCTTTATTCACTTTTTACTCAAAATAATATTTGTTGAATGCCTATTCTGAGCAAACCAGTACTGAATAAGACATGGTCCTTGCCCTTGTAGAGCTTATTTTCAAGGGGAAAAAGCAGACAATAAAACGTATTAAAATATGTGAACAACATAATTACAGATAATGAAATGAAATATAAAGGAAAAGAACCTACAAAAGTGACTGTTAAGTCTGAATCTGAAAAAGAAGAAGGATCTAGTTATATGAATAACTCATCTCACTCTTTGAAAATCAGAGTATTTAGACAGATGACAGCATTATCAAAGATGTATTGGAATAATAACAAAGTGCTAACCTTTATATTGGAGTTTTGGAAGGAGAGTAGAGAGAGTAGGACCAAAAAAAATGTGAAGAAATAATAGTTGAAAACTCCCTAAATTTGGTTAAAGACATAAATACATAGAATTCAAGAAGTTGGGTGAATTCCAAATAAGATAAGTCTAAAGAAAGCTACACTAAAATACATCATAATTAAAATTTTGAAAACTAAAATAATAAATACCTTGATAAAATCAAGATATTCTTTTACTCTTAAATTTCAAGTATAAATTTTAGAAAGGTGAAAATTTCATGTTTCAGACAGGGAAAAGTATGGTTGGAAAATTACACAGTGATAACTGGTCATGTGAGTCAGGAAGAAATATTTGGTACATACAAAGGGGCTTCATGGGAAGCAAGAAAGATTTGGTACATACAAAAGGGTTTCATGGAAAATAGTAAATGGACAATATAATATGCAGAAAGGTGGACAGGATTTAGGTTGTTACCAGCACCTGGAGAGAGTCAGAGCATCTGCCTGGGAGGAATTACACTGAAGAAGAATGTCGCCACTGTCTCAACTGGTTAGACTGGAGGAACTGACAGAAAATGGATGCCTTTTCCTTTTTCTTTTTCAACTCCTTAAATCTTCTCATAGGCTCCTTCATCTGAATCCAACTGGGAGCCAGAGGGAGGGAATTGAGGTGAGCATTCAGTGAGAGAAGTCTTTTGGAGACAGATCTTTCCAGAAAGCAGAAGAGAGAGTTTGAAGGAGAGGTAGTGGTACATGGATAGAAATATAACACGGGTATCATAGTGAGAAATTCTGGTGTCACTACTGATCAGCTGTGTGATTCTGGGTGAGTCACCTAAATTCTTTGAGCTAAAATTTACTCTTCTATTAAATGAAGGTTTAGGTCTAAATCTCTATATTATCTTTTCATTCTAGGGAATGTCCTATTTAGAAGTTCTGTATCAATGCCATGTTGGTTTTGTTATTTCAGAACCTTAAGCGTTAGGTACTTCCAGACAGTAGTAAATATTGTATAATCTGCCACTTAATTGCCTCTTAAATCAGTTGTCTATTTTCTCTGTTTTCATGATTGCCATGTGGCTTTCAGCTCTGCAGTTAAGTACTCTACCAACTGTACTACAGAGTTGGGACCTGTTCTTATTTATTTATTTATCTTTCTTTTAAAAAAATCATTTATTTATTTATTTATTTATTTATACATTTTCCCACAAACATTTACTTTACATATCAAAAAATTTTTGCTCATGCTCCATAGTTCTTGACAGTTAATCAACAACTTTCAAAATTTTGAAAAACTGAATTTTAACGATAATATTAAAAATATTTGCTATAATTTTGTTTGTGACTCTTTAACAGAGACAGTATGGTTTTAAATATCTTTAAGAAAATATTTACATGTCAACCACTCAAACTGTTGAAAAGCAAACATCCAGCACACAATGCACGCATAAACCTTTTTCATTCAGCCCCATCTACCAAGTATTCTGTGATATACCATCTGGAGGCAAAGATCAGTCTCCTTTTCTTTCTTTAAAGTCTTCCTCAAGATAATTCTCTGGTTGTGGCTGTTCTTTTGCAATCTCAACTGATTACAAAGCTGGGCTAGAAAAGTCAGGTTATTTTATAGTAGAAATTCTTTCATACAGCTTCTCTAATCCTCTCTGTCAGGCAGAACTGTTTATGGTGCCAGGCCATCTTTCCAAGAGTTTCTGTTGGCTTACTTGAGACCTATCTCAGTTCCATAGTTTTCTGGTTTAATCTTCAGATATGGCATTCCAGTGTCCAATAGTGAGTATTTCCAATTTTTGATTCAAGGCAACAGGTATTATTGAACTTATGCAAATAACTATTATACTATAAAATAAGAATACTCTCAAATATTTTCCAATTCCAGAGGGGTCAGGAAGGAAGAAAAGTTTACGTTTTCATTTAAAGAAGCAAACAGGAAGAAAAAATATTTTAACAAATTGCTGAGCCTATCAACAGCTCAAAAGAAAGAAAAATCTTTAAATTGGGAAAACAAAGAATAGTAAAGTCAAAATCAGTAATGTTTTACTCAAAAGTCATAAAATTCTATTTTACCAGTTCAGTCTTATGTAATTAATCTCTCTTCTGTTGAATTTGTAACATTACTATGGACCTATCTTTCCATTTAAATCCTAGAAGTTAACATTCAACATTATTATTCATATTTCTTGTCCCTAGCATTAAGTTGGTCATTTTCTTGGTTGCTTTTTCTTCTCTTATTTCTGTATGTGTCTTTAGTTTTCCTGGTAAAGTACTCCTTTCAGAAGTTCTTGAAGAGCTGGTCTGGTGTTGGTTAATTCTTTCAGGTTTTGTTTATCTGAGAATGTTTTTATCTTTTCTTTCCTTCCATAGGAAGGATAATCCTGCCAGGTACAGTATTCTTGGTTGAAACTAGTTTTCTTTTTTTTTTTTTTTTCTTTTTTAGTTTTTTAAATTTTATTTTAAATTTTATTTCTTTTATATGTTCAATTTAGTTCACAAAGTGAATATTCCAACATGTTTACATTTCTCCCCAGTCTAGTTGATAATACTATAAAGTTATCTTCAACAGATAATATCCCATTTTTTTGTCCCATTAATGTTTTGCCTTTCTATTATTCTCCTTAATATCCTTCTTCAGACTCTATTCCTTCACCCACGCTCTTCTCACACTATGTGAAACTGTTTTTCACTTAACACTTAGAATATATTTTCCCTTCCTTGCTTACATTGTTTCTGATGAGAGGTCTGATGTTAGCCTGATGGGGAAACCTTTGTTTATAAGTAACCTGACATTTCTCTTTTGCTAATTTTAGTATCAAAAATATAGAGCACTTCATAAATTTGCATGTCATCCTTGCACAGGGGCCATGCTAATCTTCTCTGTATTGTTTGAATTTTAGTATATATGCTGCCAAAGTGAGCACTGGGCCCCGTTCTTCATCTTTAGCATGTTTTTCTTCTACAAAAAGTAACTGTTAATAAGTTTACTTTACAACCTACTGAAAATAGCATCTTATGTATTAAGACACTATAGGCCTTAAGTAGTTATTGTGAGAGTCAACTAGTGCACTACATTAAACTTAAACTATTTCTTTTTTAAAAAATTGCTATAGGGCAACATAGAGTAAAGGGCACACAGAGAGACAAAGAGAATGAGCAAAAGTGAGAAAGTGAGAAAGCACCCCCCAGTGGGTGGACATGCTATAATTCCTTTTCCTTCATTCCCTTCTCCTGATTTTGGGCATGCATGTGCACATGCAAGGAGTGTTTTTTCAAGTTGCAGGGTCTGGGACTTGAACTGGGAAGTTGGCCATGTGGGATCCAGCTACCTTAACCCTCAGGTTACCTGCTGGTTCAAACCTAAACCATTTATTTTTGGCATTAACATATTGTCTTTAGAATATGAATCTGTGCTTATTATAGGATGACTGCAAGGTATGAGTTACTATTCATTTCTCAAGAACATCTACAAAATGGAATGATAATTGTTATTGAATGTGATTTGAATGTTCAAGTTCCATTGTTTCCTCTATAGACATTTGCTTTTACAACAAACTTGTTTTGAAGAATAATCCTTAATTTTTTTCATTGTATATGAGAAATGAAATCTTTTGCTTGAAAACTAGCTGTCCATTTGGAGAGTTATTAAATATTGTTTTGTCATGGCATTTGCCACTTCCAGTATTGAATATACTCTGACTTCTCCCCTGGATATTGATAGATGTTAGAGAATCTCTAAGACCTGTCTCTTTATGTGGTATACAATCTAAGACAGAGTGTAAAACAGGGTTTGATGGGGGATTAGAAAAGACAGGAGAAGGAGGGAGAAGGAAAGGGCTTTGGTTAGGTTAATTATAGATATTTCTGTTATGATTTATGGTTTTTGGATGAACCCCATGTTCTGAAAATCCACATATGATGTAGGAAACACAAGGTCAGGTTGATCACTAATAACACATACAACTTTGAAATGCAATAAAAATAACAATCCCAGTAAAAGTACTGACACTGTTAAAAAGATGTGTTTAATTTCTGATTAAAAACTAGTTCGGAGGTGAGATGCTGGTACAGCAGAAAAACACAATGCTCTATGAGGAGACTCACACAGTAAAACTTCATGTTTGTATCAAGAGACCTCCCTGAGTATGCCAAGCATGTGCATGCCCCTGATTGGGGACTGATTGAAGCTAGGAGTAGATCAAAGGATCAAGCCCCTGTTGAGGATGCTGTCTTTTTGCTCTGTCTTCTTGCTCATGAAAGAAAAATAAATAAATAAATAAAATAGAATCAATATAGGAATCCAGTACAGTACATACAGTTGCATTTGACAGTTGTATTTGTGTGTGTGTGTGTGTGTTCAATTTTAAAGTACCTTAACATAAAGAAATATATAGTAGGGTTCAGACTGCTATGTTTTGGAGACCCAGGCAAATGGGGATTTGCAGAATTGGCTTTGAAGGACAGAGACCTTGGTAAAATTGAGTAGAGAATGTGGCGGTGAATGGGCATATTGTACAATTCTATACCTTGTTGTGTTTTGCTTTAGCAGAGCCTGCTGCATTGAGCTGCTCTTACTAGTGGTTCCAACATTATGACATGGGAGAAAATTACAAGTGAAAAATGTGATTTTCAAACTACTGCATTATATTGACATCATCCTTTCTTTATCCGTGGCAAATGGGCTAAATTTTGGACAGAAATGCATATTATAGTAGTATTTAAAAAAAATCAAGTGATATTTAAATATTTACTGTGATCCATCCACTGTTACATTATACATTTCATAGATACACTAATTTGTTATTCTACAAGGTATTGGTAGCAGAATACCATTAGTACATTAGTTGACCCACCTACTTATTTGAGAATTGTTAACATAAAAGCAGGGACTTGAAGCTACATCTGGGTACATCTCGGGGGATGCAATTTATTGAGATATTGAAAAGATTAAATAAAAGCAATAATCATTGCAGATAATATTTACTAAACATTTATTGAATAGTGTCATTAAGTTTGCTCTGTTCTTTGTGAGTATTATCTCGTTTAGTCAACATATAATTTGTCTACTCTAAATGTTGGGAGAGTTAATGTTCCAAATTCTGACTTGGACCCCAGAACCTCTTCACCAACCATTTACCTAACACCTTCAGGAGTGATAGACCTCTATGTGTAGCCCCAGAGACATTTAGTTTTCAGAGGAATGAGACCAAGAAGGTTTGTTCAAAACCATGTTGATTTTATTTTCATGCATGGCAAGGCTGGGCCATCTTGAAACCAGGGGTCTATTATATTTATCTATCTTTTCTCCCAAGGAAAGAGTTTAATCTTTGTAATCTTTGTATCTTTTCCTTTCACAGTAAGGTGAAGAACAATCATAGGTTCATTATGTTAGTGGCTACCTTTAAGATTTTCCAAATATTCTCCTATCTATATTCCTGAGATCAGAAAATTTATGTAAAAGTGTATCTTGATTGACTCTTTCCTTAAGGAATTTAGCGAACTATGCTTATTCCCAGTGCAACTTCACTTCTCAGTAATTCGTAAATATAATGTAGACATTTTTAAGTAAAGTTTTGAATATTTTCAGGTAAAATTTTTAAAAATTTTTATTTATTAAAGAAATATATAGTAGGGTTCAGACTGCTATGTTTTGGAGACCCAGGCAAATGGGGATTTGCAGAATTGGCTTTGAAGGACAGAGACCTTGGTAAAATTGAGTAGAGAATGTGGCGGTGAATGGGCATATTGTACAATTCTATACCTTGTTGTGTTTTGCTTTAGCAGAGCCTGCTGCATTGAGCTGCTCTTACTAGTGGTTCCAACATTATGACATGGGAGAAAATTACAAGTGAAAAATGTGATTTTCAAACTACTGCATTATATTGACATCATCCTTTCTTTATCCGTGGCAAATGGGCTAAATTTTGGACAGAAATGCATATTATAGTAGTATTTAAAAAAAATCAAGTGATATTTAAATATTTACTGTGATCCATCCACTGTTACATTATACATTTCATAGATACACTAATTTGTTATTCTACAAGGTATTGGTAGCAGAATACCATTAGTACATTAGTTGACCCACCTACTTATTTGAGAATTGTTAACATAAAAGCAGGGACTTGAAGCTACATCTGGGTACATCTCGGGGGATGCAATTTATTGAGATATTGAAAAGATTAAATAAAAGCAATAATCATTGCAGATAATATTTACTAAACATTTATTGAATAGTGTCATTAAGTTTGCTCTGTTCTTTGTGAGTATTATCTCGTTTAGTCAACATATAATTTGTCTACTCTAAATGTTGGGAGAGTTAATGTTCCAAATTCTGACTTGGACCCCAGAACCTCTTCACCAACCATTTACCTAACACCTTCAGGAGTGATAGACCTCTATGTGTAGCCCCAGAGACATTTAGTTTTCAGAGGAATGAGACCAAGAAGGTTTGTTCAAAACCATGTTGATTTTATTTTCATGCATGGCAAGGCTGGGCCATCTTGAAACCAGGGGTCTATTATATTTATCTATCTTTTCTCCCAAGGAAAGAGTTTAATCTTTGTAATCTTTGTATCTTTTCCTTTCACAGTAAGGTGAAGAACAATCATAGGTTCATTATGTTAGTGGCTACCTTTAAGATTTTCCAAATATTCTCCTATCTATATTCCTGAGATCAGAAAATTTATGTAAAAGTGTATCTTGATTGACTCTTTCCTTAAGGAATTTAGCGAACTATGCTTATTCCCAGTGCAACTTCACTTCTCAGTAATTCGTAAATATAATGTAGACATTTTTAAGTAAAGTTTTGAATATTTTCAGGTAAAATTTTTAAAAATTTTTATTTATTATTATCATTTTTCAATATGACCAGAGAGAGAAATGGAGAGAGAGAGAGAGTAAGAGAGAGAGAGAGAGAGAGAAAGTGAGAAAGTAAGTTGCCAGGTCCAGGGCCTGAACTATGGTTGGCCTTGTGGGAGTCCAGTGCCTCAAACACCATGCCTCCTGCTGACCCTTCAGGTAAAATTTTAAAGCACCACATTTACTTGGTATATTTTCTCATTCCTTGTACGTCTTAAGAAAATATTTTTCTCTTGTCTAACCATGCAAATGAAAACTTAAGGAGAATTAAAATTGTTTGGTGTTTGTAGAGGTTCACTGCCTTTGGCTTTTAAAGTTGAATAAAAAGAAACATAATATCAACCATTTTTTTTTTTTTAACAGAAGCAGACATTCTTTATTTTTCTTCGGGGAATCTTGTTAGAAGATGGTCTCATTTTAGCAAGATGGTCTCACATTCCAGAGGAGCACTCTTTCTGTGTGTCACCTTCAGTGTGCAAACCCTTCAAAAGCTCTCAGCAGATTTCACCTCGGGTCTCACTGACTTTAACTAAGTTATACACTCTCCTTTTAACCAATCACAGTGACCGGAATGAGATGACACTAGGGATTTTTCCCGGAGATGGGAATAGGTCTACTTACCTGAGGGAGGAATATTTAGCAAAAGATGGTTTCTGTTTGTAAAGCACATGGCTTCTATTTGCTCCAACAGTGTCTGCTGCATCCTTCTTACTATCGATCTGATTTTTTGTTGTGTCAGTTATTCCATTTACTCATCCATTTTACTACTGGACATTTAATTTCCTTGCAATTGTTCCTTATCTCACCCTGCTCTGTTTAGTCTGCTTATTGGTCTTTGCTGTGCAGCCTGTTGTTTTTAATCATCTAAAGTTCTTGTCCTTTCATCTTATCCTATTCTTTTTCAGGTTTCTGTTCTTGTTTCATAAGCCTATGTCTTTTTTTGTATATCATCAGGGATGCCAAAGTCTGTATTCAAATATTCCCAAAATGATTGGTTGCAGATTTTTCTGAGCATTTAGGATGACATATTCTCAGGTTCATTTTGCTGTGTGTAACTATACAT